GTCCAAATGGGGCCTATTAACAAGTACCCACCCACTGCGGTTCAGGTTTTCTGAGCCTCGGTGGCATAGTGGTTGGGATCCTAACCGCAAGGTCAACGGATCGAAACCACCAGCCGCTCTGCGGGAGAGAGACAAGGCTTCCCCTCCCATAAAGAGTAGTGTCGGAAACCCACGAAAGCAGTTCCACCCTGTCCTATAGGGTCGCTATGAGTCGACGTCGGCTCGATGGCAGTTTGGTTTGGGTTGAATTTTTTTACTGGAGCAGACAGGCTCATCTTTGTCCCACGAAGCAGCTGGTGGATTTAAACCGCTGACCTTGTGCTTAGTACAGCGCTTATATATCACAAAACACCATTAGGGCTGTGGAGACAGCCACCCTCCCGCCGCCTTAAATTAACAAGTAGTTGTTATTGCTGCAATCTTTCCCTAGTTGAATTTGGTTGGGATTTCGTTTTTGCGGGTGAGGATGAGTGGATCCGGGGGTCTGACGCTAGGAGCTCCTCCGGTACAGGTGTGTTTCGAACCACGGGTTCCGGTCTGTAACATCCGGCATTGGATCCAGAAGCGGCCTTAGAATAGAGCGTGAGTGAGGGAGTGAGAGTAGCTTGCACACCAACAGCGCGTTGTAGGCGCCGAGTGTGTGCGCGCAGGTAAGTGCTAGGTGCTAAGGAGGTCTGTCCTAAGACCCCCTTTGCTGGCGCAATCCACATCCCGCCGCCCGGGCTAGCCCTGCGGCCCGCGCCTCCCCAGCCTGCGGGGGCCAGACGGCCCTCCCCGGGGCTGGGCGCAATCCACATCCCCTAATCTGATTTGAGGGCCGCCCGCCGGCCCCTCGTGGCCTGGGGGCGGAGTCGACTCCGCCGCGGCTGCGCTCGGACGGCGGCGGGTGACCCTCTCCGGAAGGGTCATCCGGGACAAGCCTGGGAGGGGGACATCCTGGGGACCAGCGGTGAGCAAGTTGATGGGAGCGCGGGCCTTAACCAAAAGCACCCGGAGGTGGGATGGGGCAGGTAGGGGGAGCGTAAGAGGGCCTTTTCCAGTTCATTTCCTCATCTGGTAAATTCTGGAAGGTTTGTGATTCTGCAAGTGTCCAGACACCTGGTTTCTCATTGAGTGCGGGTGCGCGTGCCATCGCTGGCTTTTCCGATCTCCACTGTGCTGGTGGCTGCTTTTATTATGAGAGCCCGGGGCCTGCATGCACTCCTTACCTGACGAGGTTTATTTGTAAACTGCACCACTGGGGGAAATGGGTCCTGGAGTCAGAACAGTTTTGCTCTCCATCTGTCACTGTGTGACCGCTTAATTTAACTTTCACCTTGGACACCTGGGAAGGATTCTGCTTCCTCATTTGCAAAATGGCAACTGGGCTGGGACAATGCTTATAAAACGCTTTGCATGGCCACCACGCCTATCATTTATAATACTGCCCTCATCTACAAACCCTCTAATCCTTCCTCAGTCTCACCACCCTGTTTGAGGGGAGAGGTGCCAGGGGGAGGCTAACCCAACCCCAGGCGCCCAAGAATCTACTTCCATGCATGGATGGATTTCAGGGTGACCCCAAAACCCTTTCCTCATAATCACTGCCAAATCACATCAGTTAAATGGATGGTCAGATTGGATTTTTTTCCGGGAGAGAGACCATTTTCAGCTTGTACCAGGCATTGGTGAACCCCTACTTCAAAAAAGAATTCCTGGGTAGCACTAACAGCTGGCTTGCCCTCAACTACTCACCAGAAAGTTAGCAGTTCAAACCCACCCAGTAGCCCAGCCGAAGAAAGACCTGGTGACCTGCTTCCATAAAGGTAATAGCCAAGAAAGCCCATGAGGTCGACTGGACTCAGAGTCGCCTCAACAACAGACTTTCTCTGAAAATGAACCCAGTGTGGCTGGAGGAGAACCAGCCAGCACGGCCCTGCCCCAGGGAACCCTCAGCTGGGACGGGGAGGCAGGCCATGGACTCAGACTCTCCCAGCTGGAAGGAGCAGATTCCTGCCCCTCCTTGTGCCGCCGGACTCATCCCAGTTAGAGGACGTCCATCGCCGCCCAGCCCGCGGCTTCTCACTTTTGGAGCTGGGCAGTCGTAGGGGGTGGCAGTGGCGGTTCAGGAGTAGACTTCTCACCTTCCGTGTGAGCTGGATTCCTAGCCAGTGCGCCTCATGCCCAGCTGTGGAGCCCTGCAGGTTTCAGTGGAGCTTCCAGAGGGGGGAGGCGGCCATGCCTGGGGTCACCAGCAGAGGACACCTCAGTGAAGCCTCACGGTGCTATTACTAATCACTAGCTCCCTTTTACAGACAGGGGAACAGAGGTCAGCGGGGTGGGGGGGTGACTGTGCAAAGTCAAACAGCTAGCATTGTACCTTGATCCAGTGTGCCTGCCTCGCTCTAAAAGGCCATTTGTGAATACTTGAGATAAAATGCTTTAAATTGCCGCTCCTGGGCCTCCTGTGGCACATGGCCAGGACTTGCTACATGCCCCACCTCTAGCAGCACCTAATGACCTGGTGGCCAGCTGGCGCTCCCATGGGTGCTGGATAATGCCACCCCCTCTCCCCACACTTCTGGGAAGAGTTGCTAGTCTGGGCGGTTATTCCCCCTGGAGATGCTAACGAGGAGGGAAGTGGGAATTAAGTGACAAGGAACAGCTGGGCTGGAGAGGTGGGAGGTGGGGATGTCCTGGGAGGGGTGGTAAGCTGTCTGGGGGCTGATGCTGGGAATTGCTCCCTTATAAAGCAGGCTGGGTTTCCCAGGGACATTCACTTAACACACCAAGGATGCTCCCAGACCATTAAAGTAGGCAACAACAAAATGTTGTGTGTTCTGTCCAGGGACCTCAATGCAGAGACCATCCCCACATCCAGGATCTGTTGACAAAGACTACCTTTGCTTTCTCATGGAAAGGCCTGGCTTTTATCTAGCAGGAATCCCTGGGTGGTGCAAATGGTTAATGAGCTCATCCATTGGAAACCAATGGGAGCCCCTCTACTGTCACAGCACATATTGGGTTGTCAGTCTGCTCCATGGAACTGGCTTTTACTCCTGGTTTTTAGGTAGCAATCAGCCTTCAAGCCTGTGTGTCCCTGGGTCCTCGCAGTAATGCAGAGATGGGTCAGTATTTACGATGCCCATTGCAAAGAAGGGGAAGCTGGGATTGAAAGAAAGATCTACCACTTTTGAGAACCAAAGCTGACTGCCTGCCATCTAGTCGATGTTGACTTGTGGCCTATAGGACCGGGTAGAACTGCCTGTGGGATTCTTAGACTGCAACTCTCTAGGGAAGTAGGAAGCCTAATTTTTCTCCCTCGGAGTGGCTGGTGGCTCGAATTGCTAACACAGAACTTTTAAGTGACCTGAAAACCTATACATATGTGCTATTCCCAAACATCGGGCCACATTATTCCCGGACTAAGATCAATGGACTGGGCTCCCCCACTCCTTTTCCCAGGCATGAGTTTGGTTTTCCTGGGTGGATGGAACGCGGCTGAGGTTTGTGTGATTGGTTGCTGGGCACCGGCCCTACATAGGCATAGGCGTGTGGGAGCAACGGGCAGAAGGGGGTGGGTCCAAAGGAAAGCCCACTGCGGGGGAAAGCTGTGAGGTCTTCAGCATGCCTGTGTGCCCAGGAGACGGGCCCCCCTTCCCAGGGAGAGACCAGGCTAGAGAAGGTGACTTCTCCACAGGGTGCGTGGAGGTGCGCAGGGTTTGGGTTAGAAGGCTGGGCCTGGCCTGAGACTCTGTGCGAGCCAGGTGGACATCATCAAATCTTTACCGATCTCCAGCAGCAGTGCCCTTGGGTGGGAAGTGGGGCGTTGCATAAGAGTGGTGTCGGGTTTGGGTTTGGGAGTGGAGCAAACCCAGGCTTGGTTGACTCTTGGCTCTGCCTCCTCCCCAAAGTGAAAACCTTGGACGGGCAGGTCATCTCTGGGTTTTCCTTTCCTTGTCTCTAAAACGGGCTCCATGACATTACCAACTTGGGAGATCGGCTTGAGAGGGACTATGGTTTTTGAGGCCAGGGAGGCGCCTTCCTCCACTCACCTCCCTTCCCGGTTTCCTCCCACCCAGATATGGACGTGGACGGGCCGAAGTGGACCTTTGCTTTTGACTTCTCCTTCTTGAGCCAGGAAGAGGATCTGGCTTGGGCTGAGCTCCGGCTGCAGCTGTCCAGCCCCTCGGACCTTCCCCCCGAGGTACCGCTCACCATTGAGATTGTCCACCACCCAAAGCTGGACCTGGAGCAGGACCCAGCTGGCTGCCCACAGCGCCTCCAGATGGACCTGTTCACAGTCACCCCATCCCAGGTCACCTTCTCTTCAGGCAGCATGGTCCTGGAGATCACAAGGCCACTCTCCAAGTGGCTGAAGAGCCCCGGGAGACTGGAGGAGCAGCTGTCCAGGCAGGCTGGAGAGTGCTGGCGGCGGCCCCCCAAGCCACCCATCCCTGACGTGCTGCTCATGCTCTACTCCAACCTTCCCCAGGAGCAGAGGCGGCTCGGGGGCTCCACGTTGCTGTGGGAAGCCGAGAGCTCCTGGCGGGCCCAGGAGGGACAGCTGTCCCGGGAGAGGGGTAGGCGGCACCGGCGACATCACCTGCCAGACAGAAGCCAACTGTGTCGGAAGGTCAAATTCCAAGTGGACTTCAACCAGATTGGATGGGGCTCCTGGATCATCTACCCCAAACAGTACAATGCCTATCGCTGCGAGGGCGAGTGCCCCAACCCTGTCGGGGAGGAGTTTCAGCCGACCAACCACGCATATATCCAGGTGGGATGCTGGGGCACCGGGCAAAGGGAGGCCGGATGCTTTGGAGGGCAGGGGGCTAGAAGCAGTGGTCCCACTGCCGGGTCAGGAAGAACATGGTCCCAACTTGGCTCATTCATTTGAGCATCCATGCCAGTCCTAGGGATGTAGAAGTGGCCCTCACAGTGTCTTCAAAGCCATGCCCCAGCGGGTAGCCTCGAACACAGTGCTTCCATGAGCCTTCTTCCTTTCATCAAATGGGGGGTGGACTAGAGGGTCTCAGGTCCCCCTCAGCCCGGCATGCTAAGAAAGGAAGTTCAGAAATCTGGGATTTGGGGAGAAACGGGCTTGGGTTTGACTCCTCCCAATCCATGCAACATTAAGTTGCTTACTTACGCCCGCCTCTGTTGCCCCACCTGTTAAGCGGAGGTGGCGGTGTCCTATTTCATGGGGACTTTGTGTAGGATTCAGTGAGATAATGGGCATAAAGCACGTATGGTGGTTGCCAAATGACCGGATGTTTGGGGCCATGATTGGGATCCAATACTGCCTTAGCCGCTGTCCCGTTGCTGCCTGAAATCAGAGTTGGCCGCGCATTTCACAAGAGCGGAGAAGGCCAGAGGCTGCCACCACGTGCCACTGACCAGGTCGAGGAGTGGTGCAGGGAGAGGAACAGAAGGATGGATGGTGGTAGGAGAACAACAAAATGGACAGGAGAGAATGGAGCCCATCGTGGGGCCTGATGTGATAAACAGTTGTGATCTTCCCTCAAAGATCATACGGGATCGCATGTTCCTGTTTTAATCTGAGCCTCGATGAGCCATTCTTGGAACTGCAGTCCATCCTCTGGCATAGGCTATGCCAAGCCTCGGCCTGGGCTCAGAGGCTCTGGGGAGCACGCCCACGTGAGCTGGGCTCACGCCGGGGTCTCGGCCTCACCTCACTTCACCAACCCACTGATAGCATGATTCAAGGGAACCCGTAGAGACCCAGCCAGGCCTAGTCGCCAGCTCGGCTGTGTCCTGGAGAGGCCTCAGAGACACCACCTAGGTGCAAAATACCAAGGAAGTTGGTAACCGTTCCTCCTGTTGACTTCAGTTGCCCTTCTCTGGGCAGCAAAGCAAATCCCCTAAGAATTTCTTCATAACAGCTTTTTTTTTTTTTAACATTTTATTAGGGGCTCATACAACTGTTATCCCAATCCATACACACATCAATTGTGTAAAGCTCATTTTTGTACATCGTTTCTCAAAACATTTTCTCTCCATT